CTCCTTTCCTTCTTTCTCTCTCTCTCTCTCTCTCACACACACGCACACACACACACACACACACACACACACACACACACACACACACACAGAATGTATATGCAGAAAAAGCATGCAAGATGTCATAAGCCAACCTGTTACTACTGGTTCTCTCTGAGTGGTGAGATAAAAGTGATTTTATTTCTTCTTCATGTTTTGTAAAATTTCTAGAACTAATGTGTAAGTGTGCGTGGCTCTGTAATAAGATAAAGAGCAGGCAGGTGTGGTGGCACATGCCATTAATTGCAGCACTCAGGAAGCAGAGGCAGGAGGATCTCTAAGTTCAAGGCTAGCCTGGGCTACACAGAGAGACAGTGTCGCAAAGAAAGAAAGAAAGAAAGAAAGGAAGGAAGGAAGGAAGGAAGAAAGAAAGAAAGAAAGAAAAAAAGAAAGAAAGAAAGAAAAAGTAGGGAAGAGAGAGAGAGAGAGAGAGAATGGACGTCCAATGAAATCCCACAGTATCTTAGACGATACCACAGGGATAACAATCACTGTTCTGGTATCGTCTCCCACTGGGCAGACTACCTGAGTGGAATGTTGTGTCCCTGTCACTCGGGTGAGCACTGGCTTCCTGAGCCAGGCCCAGAGCACACAGACCTGCAGTATGAAGCCCTTGCCTCCTCACTGAACATCCCGGGGCTCCCCGCAGCATACCTGCAGGCTGGCGGCCTCCTCAGCCCACCAGACGTCGAACTCCTTCTGCAGCTTCAGCTTGGCTTTGTCCATGAGCAGCTGCAGGTGCTCAATCTCCACCTTCAGGGCTTTCAGGCGCATGAACGTCGATTTGTACCTGCAGTGGGGTCAGAGAAGCGGCAGCGTGCTGATGCCCTGAGGTCACCGGCGGGTGTGTGTGTGTGTGTGTGTGTGTGTGTGTGTGTGTGTGTTCTGTAAATGAAGAGACTCCATGCCTCAGGAGCCTGGCAGAGCTGCCCTGGTGCGGGGAAGGGGGACAAGAGGACTCTGCCAGGGCTAGATCACGGCACCAGGTGTTGAGCCCATCAGAGAGAACAGGGTGGGCCATTTCTGTTCAGCAGAGACTCGGGGAACTTCTCCAAGAATGAGAACTCCCTTTCATTGCACATGTACTCAGGACAAGTGTCACCGTTGATCTTCACTCAGGAGCCACACCTCTGCCGGTACCCGTGAGGGTGTTTCCAGAGAGCTTTAACGAACAGGGCTGATGTGCCCTGAACACGGGCGGCACCAGCACATGGACTGGAAGTGTGGATGGGCAAGCTGAGCACCAGCATCCATCTTTGCTCTCCGACTACAGGGTGTGCTTCTGCCCATGCCTTCCTCACTGTGATGGACACGGTACCCTCAGACTGTGAGCAGAAATAAACTCCCTCTGCCTTGAGCTGCGTTTGCAGCTGCTTTTCACAGAAACCAGAGAAGCACTAATTTACAGGGGGCAGATGGGCAACTGAGGAAAACCCCAATGGCACCAGTGTGGAAGAGAGCACACACGTGTGAGCCTTGGCTGGGAAGCTGTGAGGGAGTGTTGCTCAGGTGAGTATGCGTGTGCTTGCGTGTGCTTGCGTGTGTGTGTGTGCTTGCGTGTGTGTGTGTGTGTGTGTGTGTGTGTGTGTGTGTGTGTGTGTGTGAGCGCCGGGGGACTGATGCACTGATACCATCAGTAACTTGAGGCAGGAAGGTGACTTGTACGGGACCCCCAGACCCCAGCCCTGGCATGGAGGATAAAGGAATGAATGAGCCTGACCAGGGAAATCGGCATCTCCTCACCCGGTCAGTAGAATCACGTTGGGCCCCTTGGTAGCTGGGTGAAGGTCTGAGGTTCCCAGGCCCCGGGTAAGCTGTGGTAAGCTGGGGAGTGAGGCCCACCATGAGCCTGCTCCGTGGCTCCTTCAGAGCAGTGCTTCTCAGCCTTCCCAAAGCTGCCCCCCTTTAACACAGCTCCTTACATTGTGGTGACCCCCCAACCATGAAACTGTGATTTTGCTACCGTTATGAATTGTAATGTAATATCTGATATGCAGGAAGTCTGATATGTGACCTCTCATGGGATGAGAACCCATTTGGACGGGTGCTTCCCCCCTCAGCACCCTCCCTTCCCAGGCCTAGGCCTTGCTTGAGCTAGCCCTCCCCTCTCCTGCTGTTTGAGGTCCCAGGCTGGACCCATTTCCTAAGGGGAAGTTGGAGGCCCAGGGGGTCGGGGTCCGTGTGCATGCGGAATGCCCACGTGATAACAAACAACACCGGCCGACGGCTCACCTGCTCTTCTCCTCTTCCAGTTGGGAACGCAGTTTCTCTTCCTGGAGGTCAGGCAGGGAGGGTGTGACCGTGTTCTCTGAGACTCCTGGAGGAGGGAGACGCCAGTGGGTTACAGCAACCAAGAAAGGTAGAAGGGAAAATACGATGGGGCCGGTTTCGGAGTTCAAGGGCATCCAAAGACAAAGGGGGTCCTGGGAGTTCCTTCGGGGGCCTCTGGGTGGCAGCCTCAGCTCGGCCTCAGAAGCAGCTCCCCTTGTGTCCTCCCGCACCTGACATCTGTCACTGGAGGGGACTGTCCCACCTCCCCTCTTCTTCCCTGCACTCGGGTCCTCTGGGTCCATAGGGAGGAGGCGACCCGAATTTCCTCATTGGAGAAAGCCCTTTCCGGGCCAAGAAGAGGGCATGGCTCTGACCGCCTGCCTGTGCCTGCACCAGGTCGGCTGGCTGCTCCAGGCTCAGAACCCTGGGTCTTGTTCTCCACCTCCATATAAGGCCGAGTTTTTCAGGCTGATCAATGGAGGTGATATGAATCTTCATCCTTTATGACCAGAGACAGAACCAGTGTGTGGGGCGGGGTGGGGGGGCGGGGAGGGGGTCTGGGCAGGCCTGAGCCCTTCAGTGGGGCTGACTGGTGGCTGTGACCTTCCTAGATGCTGACTCTTCTGTGTGGGTACCTGGCTGTAACTGGGGAGCCCCAGGTACCCTCCTAGCTCATCTGCTAAACCCCTGGCGGGGGGGTGTCTGCCATTGGGCAGTGCTTCTTAGTCAACACGGAGGCACCACGAAGTCCAGCAGAGTGAAGGCCTCCCTTACCTACCCCTCCCTGGCCCCGCCCCTGCCCTCCAGCCCTGCCCCTCCCTGTGAAGTCCGACCTCCCTGCCACAGAACGAAGGTTCTCCCCTCCCCAAATCCTGCTCTCTCACCTCACCCCCCCAATTCCTGTCCCCAACCCATGCACTTCCTGAACAGCGTCAGACTTAATCCCGATGGCAGTTATTTGAGGCTGCATCACTCCTGCGTTGCTGAGGAGGCTACAGGGGGTTAATCTGCCCAGTCCTGTGGCTAACTTCCGGGTCTGCATCTTCGTGGGTGCCAGGGTCCTGGATCCCAATCTCCTTCTACAACATTTTATTCATTGACTATTGTGTGTGTGTGTGTGGGGGGGGAGTGTACATGTGTCATGGCGCACAGACAGAGGGGGCGGCAACTTTATGGAGTCGATTCTCTCCTTCCACGTTTAACCAGGTTCCAGGGATTGAGCTGAGGCCTGTGTGTCAAATGCTTCACCCACCCCCCACCCCGCCCCCGGCCACCTCACCAGCCCAGCATCTCTGGGGGACCATCATTTGCTTTCTGTTCACAGACAGGCAGTGGCTGGCAGCTCCGTGCTGCATAGGAGAACATGTTTCATGGGTCACAGCTATTTCCACCAATTTTGAGTGGAGACTGTCCCTACTAATGTCCCCTTTCATCTCCACACAGGCTTTTTGGAGCAGCACAGGATGTCTTTTCTATTCTGAGGGTCCTTTAAATATTCACCACCACCACCGCCACACTCCCTGAGTCTGGAGTCTCATTTGCAGGCTGGCTTGCCCACTTCCTCGTGTGGAGGTTAGGGGCCTCGTTACTGCCTAATTAGCTCATTTCAAAAGCAGAGACCTGGTATAACAGCCCATCTGGGGTGAGAGGTGCAGGGTGGAAAGGGGTTCCTTCCTTCCAGCGTTTAAATATATAATTTCAGGCCACGGAGCTAGCTCAGAGGGCAGCCCTTGTCATGAGAGCAAGAGGACCCGAGTGTGAATCCCCAGGGGCACGGAAAGCTGCTGGCGCAGTGTGCATCCTGGGGTAAGAGAGTGGCTGGAGACTCACGGTCCAGCTAGCCTGGCATCCACAGCAGCGAACAGTAAAAAGACGGACCCTGTCTCAAACAAGCTAGAAGGCAAGACACCCACGTTTGTCTCCAGCCGCCACCTCCATGTGTGTGCCATGGCAGGCACCTGCCCACATTCCTACCCACACAAACATCACACTCACACACACACACTCACACACATACACACACATACACACACACACACACACACACACACACACACACACGTTGGACATGGTGGCACACCTTGTAATTCCATCATTTGGAGGCTGAGGCAGAAAGATTAAGAGTTTGAGGCCACCCTAGGCTGCACATTGAGATTCAAACCAGCTGGGGCTATAGGAGACCCTGGTTCAAACAAAGCCACCCTCCAGAAACCCCAAGTGATTCCGTCTATTTCCGCAGCAGGTGAGTTACTAATGCTGGCCGTTTATTGAATGCCCTCTGACCAGGTCCTCTATGTACCACCAAGTCCTCAGAATAACCATGCATGGACGGCACCCCCAACTCACTGCAGTTAGATTTCCTGTCGGGGGGGGGGGTCCATACACAGCACAGGTCACACAGCTAGGAAGGGGCAAAGCTAAGGTGTGAATCTAGGAAAATGCTTATGACAGCTCTCTCCATCATGGCCAGTGCGGCCCTCTGCTAAGCCTTTTGTGCTTTTCACGAGTGGCGGCCCCGGTGTACACTGCCGCAGCAGGCTGACACTGACCCAGACTGCAGCTCTCCACAGTCACTGGGACTCGGCCTGCAGAGAGGCCTCCATCCCCAGGCTTCACTCTCCTTCCCTCCTGACTGCCTCACCGATGCATGGACACATATGCTAAGAGGTCACCAGTCTGTCTTATCTCTGCGGAACCAATCACCCTCTCTTCCTTGCGCCAGGTAAGCAGGTATCTTCTGTCACGCTGGCTGAGGATGACACTGCCGTCCCCTGGGAACACTCTATCAGCCTTATGAGGCTCAGTGCTGGTCTTTATTATCCAGGATCCTCCCTGACCTCCAAGTCACAGGCACAGGGCGTTTAGAGGTGGAAAAGGGGCCCTTCTGTTTTCTGTATCTTCTTCCCCTGGAGCCCTGTTTAGAGGCTGTGTGCAGGACACACAGGATCCTGTGTTCATTTGATGACTCTGTCTTTGAACAACGGCAGATGTGAAACACAGAAGGTGGTGTGTGAACACCAGTGACAGTGGTCGGGACACTGCCTTCCCTGAGAGTGCTGGGCCCCTCTGTCTGCGGCCTGCTGACACAGAGCTCTGCCTCAGCTTCCCTCTTTTAACATCTTTGACCAAGGGCAAACCAGGAGTGCATGAGGGACTCAGTGCCAGCCTGCTCTGGAGCCTTGGCTGTGGGTACTGGACCGAGAAGAGAGGCCGCAGAAGCAGGGGAGGGCTCTGGCTTTGTGTGGGAGGCAGCGTCCAGGACTGTGCGGGTGAGAAGGGGGATGAAGGGATGGAGTCCCAACATGCACTCACGGCCCTTCTGCAGGAGGCAGGCTCCTGCCTTAGTCCATGGTGTGTGGTGGTTTCTGTGGGCACACTGCAGGTGTGTGTGATGACCAGGAGCCATAGGTCCGGGGGATCCTCCTGAATGTGTCTGATACAAGTATAGAAGGCTGATGCCAGCTATCGCCGGCTCAGTCCTGGGGTCCAGGTCAATGTGTGCCACCTCATCCGACATCAGCACCACAGGGTTCTACTGCTCTGCTCAGTGGACCGGGGACCAGCATGGCTAGGGGAAGTGTGCAGCCACGGGCTCTGGCCCTTCCTTCACTTGCTTAACAAATGTGTGTGTGTGTGTGTGCATGCGTGCGTGCGCGTGTGCGTGTGCGTGCGTGTGTGTGTGTGTGTGTGTGTGTGTGTGATGGCGTGCGTGTGGAGGTCAGAGGACAACTTTGTACTGTCATTTCTCTCAGGTTGCCAGACCTGCACAGCAAGAGCCTTTCCCTCCTGAGCCTTCTCACTGGCCCCTTCAGAAATGTTTGTTAGTACCGACAATGGACCTGCCCACTCCAGAAGGAATAATTTTAGTGATGAAGATGAACCTCAGTCAACAACAAAATCAGGTCTGCAATGTAACACAGGAGGCTGGAAGACAAGCTGGGCAAAGATACAGGGTGCATGGAGCGATGTCGAGGGTGGCCTCTTGGCCAGTAGGGCCGAGACCTGCAGAGATTAGGGGCCTGGGAAGCACATGGAGGGCTCAAGGCATGAGCCTGCGTGGTGCCTGTGAGGAGCAATGAGAAGGCCTGTGTGCCTGGGGGAGCGGGTAAGGCAGAGGACAGTGGGAGCTGAGGTCAGTGTGGAAACTGAGTGTGGTTGGCCATGGTAAGGACGCTGGCAGTGAGACCCATGGGGGGCTGAGGGGGCCACAGTGGGAGGCGCGGCTTGATTTAGTCCCTCAAGGCTGATCTGAGACAAAGTTATTCTGCAATGAAGAGCAGCTCATGTGTGGTGGTGCCAGGATTTGCTAAGCTTGCTGAAAAGATCTGGGAAAGAGGGCTGGGACAAGGGACCTCAGGCAGCTGGGATGAAGGCACAGCATCCCTGGAGACACAAGCTACCCACATGGTCTTAGACGAGCCTGAGGCCAAAGGTGATGCTTGTTTTGTAGACTGCATTGTGACCCACCGGGAGACAGGAGCCAGCCCCTGGGAAGAGGAGCCTGGGCTGAGGAGTCAAGTGGAGAGGAGAGGGAACAGATGAGCAGGACAGAGGGGGAGGAAAAGGGCAAGTGGACTTGTAGGTCTTTGTTCCCACTGCAGCCCTGGCCATGGACAGAAGCCCCAGTCACCTGACAGCGGGAGCCTTTCTTTCAAAGACAGGATTCTGGCTGGTTCGGCAGCACAGGAAGGGTTAGCCGAGTGACCTGTGAGGTCACAATAATGAGCAGCTGGCTCCAAAGCAATACAAAAAGAAAAAAAAAAAAGCCAGAAGAAAGGGTTTAGTTTTACCCTGGTGGCTATCTGAATGTCACACAAGGAGGAAGCCCGAAGCAGCTGAGTAGCAAAATCAGGAAGCCAGAGGGTGGGCCATTCCATTCCTCCATTGCTGGGAGGCCAGCCAAGATGTGGCCCCTCTGCCTGAGCTGCTACTGGGGAGCTCTCTAGTTCCTCTTTCTGCTTCCCGCACCCTCCCACACTCCACACAGTTATCTGATGCCTGAACTGTACAAAATCTCATTTCTCTGGTTCGGTGGCTCTCGACCGG